TTATGTATGTTACAACTAACATCCATTGTTATCATGTCTGACACGTGTTTGAAACTTATCTGGGCAAAAGCACATATATTCAAGGACAAAATCGCTGGATCCCAAACCGAGGCCTACCACAGTAGCACGCTGCCTAACGCATGTCTTCGGCGATTCTGACCCTCAAACAATGCGTATTATAGTTATGGATCGCTACTATACGTCCGCGTCATTGGACATGCATCTCCTACCACAAGGGTTTCTACATTACTGGCACTGTGGTAACTAAGCGCTAAGCTAAGCTGGGAATTATGCGACGCCGTCATTGTAACGAAAAATAAGCGGCGACCAGCCCATATTGACTAAGGGACGTTCACATACAAAGCGTTCATCCAGGTAGCTGAACTCAAAATGCTGCAGTGGTGGGGTGCACATGTTGTGCACTGGAGGGAGCGTAGAGCTGGACCGAGCTATCGTCGCAAAAAACCGGCGAGCAGACCGAAGTGACATGCCCGCGAGAACTGAAGAACTATCAAATGTTCATGGGCGATGTCGACGTTCACGACCAGCTGCGACTGCAAGGGCTACTTTTATTATCGTGTACAAGGCATGTTAACATCAATTAATATCGTGTTTTGTATGTATTATGCACCCTCTTCAGTTAGCTGTGCGCTACCAAATTATTTTAGAAGCTTGTTTCTCGGCTTCGTGGATCTCGCCATACGAACGCGTTTATCGTGCCCAACCAAGCATGCAAAGCTGTAGTTAAACCCACATTGGTTTCTGAAACAGCTGCATCTCGAGCTGTACCAGCTCAAAGAATCCGACTGGGGAACTGTGTGCAGCACCCAATGTTTCCAGCGAACTCCAACTAATCGAAAAGGCACAACGGCCGCTATTTCGCATACTCCTGTTCTTACCGAGGAAATGCGGAAAGGCAATACGGATGGCAGTACGAATGCCGCCAACGAGCTTGTAAAGTATGCTCGGTCTTGAAGGAAAATAATAGTGGCGGCGATACGGCTTTCTACTACTCTCCTTGCGCGCTGGCGAGCTGCCGGGACAAGTCGCCCACGGTCTTCTTGTGCGACAAGTTCAAGCACACATACGACAGCGATACACGAGCCTGCTTCGATATCTGCATTAGTGCTGGAGGGACGGCACCGTGATTCCTTCAGTGGACGGCAAGCGAAGCATTCGAGCTCGGTTGCAGAAGGGGGTCAGCACTAACAGTGCTGAGCCACTCAGCCGTCCCTTTATGTCACGTCGCGTGCAGTGATGTCGTAATGGCAGCAGCTACTTCGATCGATATTGTCTTAGTATAAGTACAGTCAATTTACAGCTGGTTTCACTTCATTTTTTTTAAAGAAATAGCGATGTTATTACACTGGTGCCCGCGTCCATTGCACTTGAGTGGTCGGTCGCTACGCAACCAATACATGGTAAAGGCTAGTATCATGTACGAAAGCCAAAGCGACAGTATCGTGTCTTTCTATACTTTAATACGAGGACGTGCTGTTTACACCAATAATATAAACAAAAACACCAAAACTATACTATCAGCACCGCTAAAGCACGGCTAGCACAGTAATATCACTAGGATCACCAGCTTTTAAAGACTGACCACCGCAATAGTACGTCCTGCACCAACCATAATTCACTCGCTAATTTTGCCCAATCCGCAACCTGATCGTCACAGAAATATCGTCCAACCAGCGAGGGGGGGGGGGGGGGGGCAAAATCATTTTCCAGCCAGCCGCCTGAAGTTCATTCTCTCAGCTCCTTCCTTTTGAAATGACCATTCGACATCCCTGGTAGCTTCTCGCCTCAGCAATGACATCCGTCCACGCAGCGAACCTTCTGGATGGTTTCAAGCAAACTAGGGTGGTGAAGAGCGAGCTGGACCCGTGCTCCGTATGCACGACCCCAGCCCCGCATTCCATGAGAATTCAGCGCCTGCATTGCGTGTGCAAGGCTTGCGCAGATGTAACGTCGGTACAAGCGGTTGTGGCGCTGGCAATGCTTCCATACACCGATTGGTTTTGCGACAACGAGCAATCCATGCGAGACGTACAATGCAGCGATCAAAAGTGATGTCACACTCCGCAGAAAACTGAAGGTCGGCGCCCTACTGTCCCAGCTACATACTCTGTGTCATAGTGAAGCTGTCACCGCCAGGCAATTTGCTATGCCCCCGGAGCCATATTCTCGGTTGGTTCGTCGATGTCGCGGGCGGGATTGCTTGAGCTACACCTCCAGTCTCGGGACACTATCGATTTTTTGCTAGCTACCACGGCTGAGACTGACCCTTTGGATACATCCCGTGTTATTGGCAAGCAGTGCCCGCGTGTTTAGGATGAGATTCGCCGACGCAACGTTGAGGACGTACCCGTTACATCCCGTCTGAGCAAATTGATTGCTGCAATGGAAACGCTTGGTACGCCTTCGCAGGGGTGGCTGATTGACATCAATTAGGGTAAGTGCAATTGTCACCTTTCAACGAAGCACGGCTCGTGTGTGCACACACTCTACGCGGTGGAATACTGTGGAACTAAGGATCTAAATGGACGTCAGACTTTTGTCAATCGAGGAACCTCCGTCCGCAAAAAGGTAGAGAGCCTCCGCGGGCACCCCTGCAAAAATGATGCGGCACTAGAGATGAAGTAAGATCTGCATTTAAAGAGAGGTTAAACAATCTTAAGTCTTTAGTCTATAAATATCAAAGGTTCTTAAGTCATTTACATTTTATTATATCATTCACATTCACTTATTTCCTTAATTATTGTGTGCGCTAACAACTTTCCGTTAGCCTTGCTCCCAAGTACTACTTGTGAGAACAATCCTTCATCTACATTCTCTACCTAATGCCCCTTCTTACAGACATTCCGGGGTGTTAACGGCTCAGTATATTAAGTCTTCGTGGTGGTATGAGCTCCCGTGCACCCCCAATCATCTTTAACGGTTTAACTTAGTCAGGGATGCGAAATAACTTATCAAGTGGCACTACCGCGAATTAAATACCTAAAACCGGCCATTTCGTGGACCCACCTCAGCTTTCACCTGTTTTATTTAAAAAAATACAGCTAAACATTCCGTCAAATACAGGCACCCTTTGCAGAACGCTAGACGCATCATACGTCATTGGGGCTACAAGCTCAATAAAAGTTCAAGTGATAACATTAACGCTAAATGCGAGCTACGCAAGGACTTTTTTTACTCTTTCTTCATTTTCTCTGTACAAAAACCACTTTAACGTACCTACGAAGTAGTCCAGTACGTGCATCACATCAATGATAACATTACTTGTTGGGGATGCTAGATACGTGTATATATTCATGAAGGAAATTAATTGGACACGTTACGAAATGTAAAGATGACTCTAATGTATTACATGAAGGTGTCTTATGTTTCGTGGAAAAGAAACTTACATATATTAAAACACATCTATATGCAGCGGATTCGTGATTGTTTTGACGGGGCTGCCACGTCAAGAAATAAAGACGTTGGAGCTGCATACTTTACCACTTAAACGATCTCCCAAAATAATAGAACACGAAAAGTCCACACACAAATTTTATAAAGTCTAGTATTTTCTTTTTCCATAGGCTCTCAACACATCGCTGAACTTTGGCACGCATATCCTTTACGCGCAGTAAAATTCAAGCGAGTTGGAGCTTTGGGAAGTCGTTCTTGCTTGCGAAAGCGTGCCACAACGTTAGAGACTTCCCGAAAGACAAACGTAGGAGCCTCGCTGCTGACCGTATCGCTCCATGAAAACCCACCGTCAACGTAGTGGTCAGCGTTAACAGATATCTTGGCCACGATCTGCGGAATCTAAACTCTGCTGTCTCCATTTTCCTCATAATTCGCAAGATCGCACAGCTCGTTGGTAAATCCACCATCTTATTACCAAAACACCACACATTATCGTAGCCTAGAAGAGCGCGGACTAGGTATTCAGCAATCGCCACCTCCGGGCGTGTCGATGCGCGCTCTGCGGTCCCGAAGGTCCTTTTGCTTGGGCGGTCTTGTTTTGAGAGTAAAATTTGGGACAGAACTTAATACAGTCGTCTACACAACACTTTACATTATCTTATCTCAAACGGTTATTCGAGATGTGTGTGGCAGGAAAGCAACGGAAGTCGATGGGAAGAATATCGTTCATCTTTTGCAATGGTGCTCCTGCAGATTAAGAAGTGCTGACAAAAAATGCTGGTGTTTCTGGTACTTCCTCCTTCAATACATGAGTATATTTCTGGCCTACAATGGGCGGCGAAAGAGAGGAAAAAATACCGAAACGGGAACAAGAACGGGCATAGCGACGCAGAGAGAGAGCGGATTGCAAACTTCGTGGCGGCAAAAAAAGCTTGGACTTCGTCAATGGAGAGGATGCACTTCTCGCGAATGTTAAAGCGGACAAAGCGGTGGTTTGGCTTGATACCATGGGGCGTCCACCCACCGTACCTGCAGGTATAGGCTATTTTAGTTATTGATGGGTCAATAGTTGCTAACGTTTCTATCTGACATATTTGACGTAGAACAGTTGGAACCGTCGCCTATCAGCGCACCGGCAGGTGCTGAGAGCCCTACGGCTGCAGTGGAACCCAATGCAAAGAGGTCTAAACTTGCAAATGCTCCAAAGAGACCTGCTAAGAAGATAGCAGCAAAGCCAAAGAAGAAGAGCAAGAAGTAGCGAGATCTGGAAGCTACAGAGCGGCGACGGATCCTGTCTTGGCTTACGAAAGTATGGGGAGCCGAAAACGCTTACGGTATGTGTGTCCCTTTGTTTTGCAATTGAAGAAATTATTAGCTATCTTTCAACAGCAAGTGAAGGACGAAGCGCTCAAGCTCCAGACGACCACGTGGGAACTGAGAAGAAGGCAACGCGAATGATGACACGGAAGGTATAAGGGTTTTGTGTTATGCTGAATTGTGAGATCTCAAATGATACGCTGACTGGGATGGCATAATGCTTAGAAATTGCTGACATGGAACCGTATCGGCTGCTGTTGCGGAGGGTACTACTTATGACATGTATGTTGACTTTGGTTTTTGTGCTGACTAAAGTTTGTAATGTAGACGGTGATAACGATAACAACGTCAGACCTTGGGGAACGTATCGAAGATTTGAGACGAAATCTTGGGAGGTTGACCTGATCACCTGGACGAACGTTGCTACATTCAGATGTGGCGTTGAATTGGGGGTTCAACTCACGGTAGAATCGCTTCGGCGGATTGTTTGTCCTTGACAAAAGACAGCTGTCGAGCCCGTGGATAATTCACCCTTCACTGCTGTAGCGTTCCAACGAAGTCTTGCGGAAAAAGCTCCAGAAGCGTTTCCATTTAGAACGCGTATGCCCAGCACCGGCAATAGCACACTGAGCTCGAATTATGCGCTTGACCCACCGAATACCTTGTCGGGCACTCACTAATTCCGGGTCGATGACGGTGAACGCATCATGCACACACTTTTTCATTCCATGCAGATCTCTACCTCAGCAATGTGGTATGCTCACCTCATTCGTCGCCGAACGGCCTGCACAAAATGAATCAGGCAGATGGCTACTTCGACGTTTGGGAATTGTTTCTGGATCGCGTTGATTAACGGAAACACAAAGTCGCAGACGACGTCGAACGATATCGGCTTACCTGAAGTGTCGCTGTAGACGAGGTCAAAGATATCGAAATACGTGTCTTTAGACTTCGAGCTACACCGTGCGAGGTAGACGGGTACGAATAGTTTGCTTGTCTGGTAATGCATCAGCCGAACCATGCACGGCTTGATCTCGGATGGAGCACCTCTAAGAGTTCCATCAAAGGGTAACGAGTTGCTATTCCTCCTGCCCGAGTCGCTGGGCAAATCGTATAGTTTATGTGCCTGCTGCGCTGTCTGTCCCTAGTCCGTAGTTGATGCTTGATGGTACTCGAAGGCGTCAGTGGCCAACAGATGCTCCACTGAGCCCTGTGCCGGAACCTTTGGCTCCTACGTTTTGTATTCCTTCTCCTTAGCTAACCTTACGTAAGCTAATAGAGGTTCGTTCTTCGTTTTCGTTCTTCCTTCTTCGTCCCTGAACAGATAGTTTCCAGTCAGATCACCCACCTCCTCGCCGAAGCACCGTGACGTCCCGATGCGATCCAGATCACGCTCAATCTCCAAGCCAACCGTGTGTCCGTTGAATCCGTTGGGCTCCTTCCGCCCTTTGGTCGCACCTTTTCCATGTTGAAGCTGGCTACGTGCCAACGTACACTCTTCCGGAAGATCTTCGGTAGACCACGTCATCAACTTGTTACAAAAGAATAGTGACATGTCACTGTATATCAGCAACTGCCTTAGTTCAGGGTGTGCCCAACCTATGCTTCGGTCTGGATTTGTTGTAGGGTCGGGCTTCGGTCTCGAAAAGTGAAACTGGAAGAAGCTCGCCGCCTTGACCTCGGCCATAGAGAGAAGAGACTTCGATGCGTCTAAGAAGATAAACGCCGTAGTGGATTTAATGAACGCGATATACACGGTTTGCAACTTGTTCCTCGGTCAATCCTTTCCGAATTACATCGTCGTCCGATTTGAGCTCGGCGCGAACTGGCTTCTAGGTATCGTGCACACGTCTTCTAGGCCAAGGATGGAGAGACTGTCGACGCGATTTTTCATCGCCGCTGAGCAGTCGTCGACCTCAGTGCTGGATGAGACTGGCTGCACACAGGTGTACAAGCTCAAATATTCGTATTCTGTTACATGCGCTCGAATGGTCAGACGGGCTTTGCAGCGTATGCTACGGTAGCCACTACACCGAAGAACGATCTTATCTCCACGGTGTGTAGTTGAAGCTTTTGTGGTTGATCTTTGCTCAAATATTCGTATTCTGTTACATGCGCTCGAATGGTCAGACGGGCTTTGCAGCGTATGCTACGGTAGCCACTACACCTAAGAACGATCTTATCTCCACGCACGTGTGTAGTTGAAGCTTTTGTGGTTGATCTTTGCTGTTGGCTCTCGCTTCTTGTGAGCTGTTTTACAAGCCTTGCGATCCTGGACGTGTCTTTACCAGTGGCCTGTCTTGGCATTTTGCCGGCAATGAGAAATACGAATGTGAAGACGAGCTGCTTTGAAAAAGGTTGTATGAAATAGCAGCGTGAACAAGATGTAATATTAAGGTCATACGGTGTGTTGCCAATGTAGAAAATCAATTGCACCGCGCTCAGATTCGAAGCCTCTGGCAGGCATAATATACCGGTAGCCTTGTAAGAACTTCGTGCGACCATTTATAAGTCCCGGTGGTCTTGGAGAATCTGAAACATTGTAGTGAATATTAATGACGAACTAGTAATAAACTCCGTATTTATGTGGTCACTAAAGTGCGAAGGTGTGACTAATTGCGAAGCACGCCTAATACCGCATCGCCCCTGTCCTAAGCGAGCTTCGATTATGGCCAATAACAGCGCTGTATTTAAAACAGATGGCTGCCCACTTTTCGCGAGCTGACCGGGGCTGATAACGATGCAAAAGGGAGAGCGACAGCGTACAATTTGCCAGACGTGCTCGACCGAAATACTATTAGCGAAACGTGAGCAGACCAAGCGTTTGATCGTGGGAGACAGCTCTCACAAGCGTACGACTTTGGAATTAATGGAGGCAGGTCTTTCACATACGGAACATTCAACTGGATCAGTCTCGGATAATTTTTACTTTTCAGCACTAATTATGAGATGCAAGTAATCTGACCCGTAAACGTCGATCATGGGCGTTCGCTTAGGACAGAGGCGATGCGGTAGTCTAAATGATGTATTGTCAATTCCAGTGAAAATTGGATACCGAGGGTGATTGACGGATAGTCAGAAAAATCAACACTTAGATATGATTGGTCAAAACTCACCAGCTGCAACTTCGAGCTGCGCTCTCGCTATGATTGGTCAAAACTCACCAGCTGCAACTTCGAGCTGCGCTCTCAAAAGCGGCGCAAGCAGAAACCGCACTGTGTACGCATCCACTTGTGCGGTGCTCTGTGTGACCAGGTTCGTGCTGTCATTATTAAGACACGTCCTGCACAAATTCCTGATCAGCTACCTATCTGATTGAGTATTGATCGACGCTAAGACTCGTAAGAAGCATGCACATCCCAACACGGTGCTTCACTGCTTATACGCATTCTACAATCTTGGTTACACGCGCAAGGAGCTCGCTCATATCTACAACAAGTCCGGTACCACGATAGGCAACTGGATTCGCGTCTACGAGGCTATTGGGGCGTTTGAACGAGCGGGCAAACCAAGAGAAAGAAAGTTTATAGCTGCACATCGGTCATGGATTTGTGACTACTACGCAAAACATCATCTTGCCTATCTTGACGAAGCTCAAGACGCTTTCGTACGAGCTCATCACATCACGATCTCAAAGTCTTCTGTTTGGCGCATTATTCACGAGTTTGGCATGACGTGGAAGGTACTTGAAAGGCGGGCAATGCATATCAAAGAAAGAGATATTTTCCGTTTTGTAGAGGAGCTAGCTCATGTTGGCTGGAGCCATCACAACTTGGTATTCTTGGATGAAGTTTCCTTCGATAAGAGAGGGATGATCCGGAAACGTGGCTACTCGCTCAAGGGACAAAAGCTTGCCATTAGAGGCGACTTCCAGCGGAAGCCGAGGGTGTCCATCTTGGCATTTATCGGTGTACGTGGTCCTATTGACTACTTTGACACACAAGGGACATTCGATAGGGCTGAATTCGTGACATGCTGTCGAGACTTTGCCTATTTGAGACGCAACAAGGTTCGGCTTTATCCGGGCTCTAACTCTGTGTGGATCTTCGACGGTGCTTCAATACATCGTCATCCTGAGATAGTTCACTTTCTCAGAAGCATTGGTGTTGTGCCGATATTCCTCCCAGCTTACTGCCCGTTTTTCAACCCGATCGAGTACTTATTCGGGTACGTGAAAAAGTCTTTTCAGAGGCACTTTAGTGAGTCCAGCGAGAGGGCTCTCCTACCTTTTGCAGTCCAGACTTTTCAGCGCTTCGAGGACTTCAATTTGATGAGAGTATTTGAACATTGTGGCTGGAAGGTCCAGGGATATTTCGATCCCAATGGTCCCATGTCGACGGAGAAACAACGAGTGTCGGATATACCGAGAAGTGAGCTAATGACGGACAACGGCGACGAAGATGAATTAGGTTTTAGAGAGAAAGAGCGATGCAGCGACTACGAGTGCGACCCAGAGAACTAGCTACTCAGCATGCTCGAAGTCGTCGATATTCTGCATGAGAGGAAGCGGATCAATCACTTCCGTAATAGGCGTCAGCTCCAGGTCTTCCAGGAATGCGTCAATCACATTCTTTTTTGCCGTCAAGTTTTGTTTATGAGCGTCTAAGCGTTGGCCAAACGCAGTCCAGTCTTGATGAAGCACTTCATAGTCAGCCAGTGCTCCGATTACACAGTCTTGGGCCATACGTGCTGATCGAGTGAGACTTGCCATCCTTTGCTCCACTTGCGAAGCCGAAGCCCGTAACATCTGAACGATGTGAGCTGGTGGAGGTTGCAAAATTTTCTCCCTCCAAGTCGAACGGTTTAGATCACGAGTTATTTGGTTTGCCCACAGTCTCCACGTTATGGTCGTGGCTTGGAAACTGGATCCCCAGTGTGCTTCCAGCTCGCCCGCAACTTGACGGAGTGAAACCTCAGCAGTAGCCCCAGCACGATCAGTTTCTTGAGGGCGAATACATGCTGCTTCGAAAGTATCTAAGTCCCTGGCTTTAGTAATTGCCATTCCATACTTAAAGATCAGAAGCTTGACAGTTTTACCCCGCGATGAAACGAGCTATTGGTTCCAGGCGGCTTGCGTTTTGGAGCTGTCGACAAGATGCTTATTAAGTTTGAGCTGCAACAACTTCAGCCATTGCTCTTCTGCAGGAGTTTCTACTGACCAGATTCCATCATATTTGACCGCTTGCCCTTTCACATGGTGCCCGAAATGCACCCATAATTTGTGTGCTACATCTCCAAATGTCGACCCATTTACTGCGAAGTCCTCCAGTAACTCCCCAGACGCATCTCGCTGGCTGATCGTAGTTTTAACGATAGGTTGGACCACAAGCTGATATTGATGCGAAGTAGTATCCGCTGGGGATGCTGGTATCTGCTGCTCAGGTTGACCAACAGAAGATGCAGCTTGGGGTGATGCTCGACGTCGTGTGGAATGTAAGGTCCGCGGCTTTCTAGCTGTACCAGAGGCTGGAGAAGGTCGAGCTTGAGCTGATTCACCAGGTGATCTTGCTGCTCCAAGAAGTGACGCTCGTTGGGCTGCAGATGACACTGGACCCGGGGTTGAGTATGCCCTAGTCGTGGTCGCTGGCAGTGCTTCTTGGCCTGGAGGTGTACGCCGCCGTATTGGACCTGGGCGGGGCGGTGTAGTCTCCGTTGGCGTCCGAGTACGCTCAGGATATGGAGATACACGGGCCGAATGTGGCGATACACGTGTTCGACCACCACAGCGTGCACCATCAGCTGATGCAGCACCCGTTGGTGGAGGTCCTCTTGCGCTACCAGGCGAGACGTTAGATCGGAGGTCCATTACCGTTTGGTGACACGGGGAACGTTGCCGATGCGCTCTGCTCTGAGCTTGCAGTGTGTGGAAGCCTGTCGCATGTAATGTTTCCGTATGATGTATGGTAGGATGAACGATTTCATAGGCCATTCAGCGCGGGTGATTAATAAATCAGGCAGTCAAGTTTTGAGTAGATAGCACAATACATGTACTTATTTCTGGACAGTTGGTTACAATTGGCTTCCGTTACACACACCCATATACGCAATACAGCTTGAAGCGCTACAATTCGAGCGCTAAGATAGCGCAGTTTGTCTTAAAATTCCGATGCACTAGCGAAACACACGTAATCGAACTAACGAATCGGCATACATGTAAAATCAAGTCTAAACTATACATAAAAAGACAAACTTAATCGGCTGAAGGATGACTATGGTGGAAAGATATTTTCTCAATTGGCTAAGGCGATGATTGCTAAGCGTACTTTCGTCAAATGTAGGCTGACTTTGAAGTCATGTCAGGTGATATATTTTATGACCTATGACGAAGATAACGTGACAAGTGGCCAGCATTAACCTTAAACATTAGTATTCTGCGGCAGGCGTAATCATGGACGTATTTTACCTAATATAATTAGTTTATCCGTCTAGGTACGATCCTTGTAATACCCCACTCGACATTTTGAAGTGGACCAGAGAAGTAGTACCTGGCGGGTTTCATCACACGATTTGTTTTCCGGTTAGGCTTACCCAAAATCTACAATTATTGCTTTGTGGGGAAAACTAATGACCTATACTAAAATAGTTTATTTTTGCAACCCGGTATGCAACAAACTCCTGATTGGTTAATAATCAGAAGACAGCTCTTGTCGTATTACATGGATAAGTCTATGGGAAATTCTACACACA